ACTTACTACGTAACGAACGGTACGTAACCTTACCTTACTACCTAAGTAAAAAGTAAGTAGTATATATATATATATATATATATATATATATATGAGGAAAACAGAGAAGCACATCCAATTGGCATGAGAAAAAACAATGGAAATGTCCCCAGGTGTAGAGTGGCTAAAGCATGACAGACCATACTTGGCAAATCAACTACATCCAAAACCCATGCTGCTGGTAAACCGACATTCATGCAGGGGTAGGTTGAGGATCATACCGTCTTCACCTCAAGATCAAGAGACCAGAGGGGATCTCAAACCCCCCTTGACTCCAGAACAGGGCACATGTAAAGAATAGAAAATGATATAATGATCCGGGAACCCGACATCAAGAAACAAAAAAATATCTACCATAGAGAAATCAACACTCTCAACATTGAAACTGATCGGAACCAACACAGATGTAACAACATCCTTGTAATAAGATACATCAAGGGAGAGCAGAAGGTAAATAACCGTAACAATCCCAATTACCTCCACTATGACCCACAATACAGATGGAGCATAGTTGAGGGAAGAAGATAGACATCCATAATACATGTGAAGACTTATGTTAATTGGTTCTACTCTAAATCCAAAACCCAGCCAGTGGAAATAGAAATCCAAGTGAAGGTAGGATGAAGGATCCCAATCAAAGGGGTGAACTGCAATTTGATGTCTCACTCCTTTGGTTTACATGTGCCTTATAGTGGAGGATATCACATCATCTACACCAGCAGAACACCACCAACCTACTCTGCACTGAATGGTACTTCTGTATTGATATTTGATGTCATTAAACCATTCAGAAAGATGCCTCCACGGTCCACCACCCCAGCAGCTTGGAACTGGAAAGTGGTAAGGACTCCCAATCTCTACTAGAAAAAAATGGGGGTGAAACGGGGTGGAGTCCGGAGGAACTTCAACACATGAGACATTGCAAAGGGTGACCATGAAACTCTATTTTTAAAAGCAGACCATACCAATTTATTCAATATAAGGCATGGCAGGAATGGGCAGTTGTCCCCTTCTGCTTTAACCATGTAGTCCATGGGTGGTATGGTCTGGGATAGGCATATTTATGAAGTACCCCACTGAAAGCAAAACCATTGGAAAACCACAGGATTGAGAGACCACTCTGTCAGATAGATTCTGTCTGGAAGGGAAAAATGATCTGTGACAAGATTTAAAGCACCCGGAACATGACATGCAATAATATGGATATCCTGCGTGTGGGCCCAGAAAAGAAGATCCAATATGTGAAAACATAGGTATCAAGAACATGTGCCACCCTGGTGCTTGAGATAAGCAACCACTGTGGAATTGTTGGAATGAATCATCACCAGATAATCTGGCCAGATGGAGGAAATGATCCAAGGCCCAATGAACAGCAAAGAAGCTTCAGAGTGTTGATATGATAAGACTTCTTGGCCATAAACCAACACCTCAAACCCTCCTAGTGATTGATCCATGCCTCCCATTCCTGGAAGGAAGCATCCATGAAAATATGAAAAACCAGATGAGGAGGAGGAAGTGGGACACCTGACAATGTGTGGGTACTGTCCAACCACCAATGCAGATTGTCAACTATGGAAAGAGAAAGGGTAATAAGAGCCTACTAAGGATCCCATGCAAGATTCCACTAGTCGTGAAAAGCCCACTTAAGAGCTCACATATGAATATGACTTAAGGGCATAAGTGCGACCATGGAAGACCACATTCCCAAAAGATCAAGAAGATCCCAACAACAGAGAAACCAGAGGATGACAAATGAGTTAACATGGAGGTAATAAGGAAGAGGCTGTCCCTCAAAAAATCCTCAGAATTTTGGAGCATAGCCTCTGAAAAAGATGTATGGTAGATAAATACTGTAGAAGGGAATAACGGGTAAGACTAGGCATAGGTTAAATGCACCGGAAAATCAGGGATTGTGCCCAAACTGGCAAAATAGACCCCAACAATTGAGAGTCTAGAAATTGACAGCCTGCATGATGGTATGCCAAAGCAAAGTGATCCACAGACGTTGGGGGTGAGGTATGCTGGCATCCTCAGTAATTAGGAATCAAAATGCTCAACATGAACCCTAGTATCCAGGGAAGGTGGGAAAAATAAATAAGGAGAAGAAGAACTATCATGCAACAAAGGAGGACGAGGATCATAGGAAATGGTGGAAAATAAAATAAAACCACAAACCTAAGAAATCATATCTAAAAATGCTGTATTGGGCCTAGCTGATTCTGCAGTTGGTGCATAGGAAGACACAGTAAAATCTGGTGGTGGAAAAAGGTTATCAAAATCTTTGTAAGAACAAACAGGTTTGGATGGTACATGAGGAAGTGGGACAACTTCTGGAGAAGGTGATTGACCCATATTACGATCAATCTCTTGGCAAATAATAGCAGACAAATCTAACGACAGGTTGCCCCCCACCCGCAGCCAGTGAAAAAGTGTTTATAGTAGGTGTGAGACCCAAAGTGGTCACATTAACCTCGGAATTCATGGTAAATAATAAATGAAACAAATTGTTTGAGAGATAGATACAAATGTGCAAAAAATAAAAATAAAATAAAGAATGGAAAATAAATTGAAAACTTTGTCAGCTGTATAATCAAAAATGATTAAAAAACCACTTCGGAAGTATAACTGTTAAAGTTACAAGTTACAGTTGAAGCACACGAGAGCAATGTTTGAAATGTCTAAACACAAGCCCTGCTAAACCAGAAGTGATAATTTAGTAGAATTGAACAGGAGGAGTCACAGGCATAACAAGAGTGAGTGGTTGGTGGATGGTTGTCACACAATGATTTGTATGAAACACATTGGAATGAAACATTTCCAAAGGAGGGGAGGCAAAAGGCTTGTGGCATGCATAAAAACATTTTTTGCATATAGAGGGCAGCACTGAACGAGAATGGATAATTATGTGAATGGGGTTAATGTACCATATTGGAAAACTGTTTTATTTCTATAAATATACAGCTACAAAGTAACATTATTCATACTGGCACAAAACTACTAGCATTACCTACAAGTATCAGTTACACTGATTGTCACGAAAATAATCAAATAATCAAAATTAGTATTTCCAATTATTGTTCTTTTCAATTATTCTTTTGATTACTTGGACCTGGACAGTTCCTATTGCCGTTATGATTTCACATTATTCTCTTTTTTGATAAAGTTTGTTTAGCTTTACGCCAGAATGGCCCATGTGATGAGTGGGGGTTCTCTTATGATTTGAAAGCCTCAGGTTCAATTTCCATTTCCACCAAACATGCTTACCCCTCCCCCCAATCATTTTGAGTTATTGCAAAACTTCTAAGGTTATCTGCCACTGTCCCTAATTTTGAACTGCTGACCAGAGGAAAGACAACTGGACAACAGCATCCAGACAGCCTTAGTAGCTTTGCAATAACTAAAATCTTGTCAGCTTCAGATATGTACCAACTGAATTCCTACATGACATGACAGATAATACTATTTTTCTTAGCTCAATGTCATGTGTGCATTCTGCTTGTTTACAACTTACAGATGTAAGAGTGCAGCCAAGTGGCTGTTGGTTAAACAACTAGCCACAGTGACGTCTGTTGTTTGTGTTTATCTTCTCTGGGCTAAACAAGACCATAGCTTTAACTTAATATATTGCTTAATCATTACATTACAAATGTAACTAGTATTACATTACTTAAGGCATGCACACTTGAACCTTCCCTTTGGCGAGAAGCTTATAAAATTTGCACAAAAACTATACACTAAGAAAAGTCATATTCAGGTAGCTAAATACGCATCTCTAGCCTGAGCTACCATAAATTAATGAGAAATACAATTTTCTGTTGTATGTTCAGTAACCATTGTAAATATACACCAAAGACACTTACAACTTAGTTTCAATCTTTTAACTGTTAGCACAGTTTATCTGGAGCATAAATCCAATCTATGTGTATATAGAGTAATATTAGAATATTAAAAGTAATGACTACATATTTTGCATATTGATCCAGCTATATGCATAAGTCAAATATTTTTGATTTTCAATAAATTATTTTTCATAATAATGGTCAAATCTTATTTAAAAGAAAATTGCTATAATTTACTTGTCAAAAATGCAGTCTCTCCAAAAACATTTTGGCATCTTATATCCTTAGTATTGATTTAGTAAAACACAACTCTTAGTATAGAACTCCTACACATTATTGCACTTAACATTTTTGCATATGATATATTTACACATATATACAAGCTGAGGTACCCGTCCTTTCTCCGGGTTATTAACTTAAAAAAAAGTGGGGGTGGATGCTATGATAAATAACACAAAAATCCTAAGTTTCACACAATATATTTATAACATAACATATTATTACTGTATTCATTATAACCTCACCCAAAGTTTTGTTTAAGCTTTAAGAACTCACTGTGTATATACCTAAAACATGGTATACACTGTGTGATGGTCAGGGTGATTTTGTAGGAAGAGATAGTGGTCAAAGTAGTGGCAATAGGGGTGCTTTCTGTTACCCTCTTTCAACACCCAGTTCTTAATGTTCTTTCACACTGTTTCACGTTATTAATTAATTGATGATCATTGGCCACAGAAGTGTCTTATGGGCCAAAGTTGTAAGATCACGGATCAAAGTAAGAAATGGGTAGAACTCAAAAAATGGCTCTTCATATCAGCCTTATGTGGCTCTTGGAGCAGAAACTTCAGCTGAGTTCATATTATTGCAATAGTGGCGGCTATTTCTTTCACTGCATTCCTCCATAGAGAATACTAGTGCACTCTCTGTGTGTATGTGTTATAGAAAACTTAATAGTTTTTTGTTTTTTTTTTTATGTAAGAATGTGGTGCCATCTATGAATGTAGTTGATGTTAACTTATGTCAAAGATAATAAATACTCAATAACAGCAATAATGGGAGGTTGGGTGGTGGAAAGGGTTGTGAACACATAACTAACATGCCCCTTGTTCGAAACTATCATTCAACAAAGTTTGGTTGAGATTGGCCCAGCAGCCTAGGAATAGTTAGATAGCAGACAAACAGACAGACACACATGTTTGGGCTTTATATATATATATGTGTGTGTGTGTGTGTGTGT